GTCAGAGATGTTATGTCACTGGCCTAAGATGACACAGTAAAAGAGAAACCTGGAATCCAACTCAGATCTTTGGATTCCAAGTCCAGCTTCGCTACATGGCATCCTACTGCCTCCTAGAGTTAACAATGTTGATGCATTTTGAAGAGAATATAAAGGCTTTTCAGTTAGTGTCTAACAGATATAAAATGATAACATTTATAATCATTTAGCTCATTGGATGGAAAATTCCTATAATTCAGTTGAATAATGGTGGTTGTATTTGTCTTATAAGAAGAACTGGTTCTAGGAGAAGTGGGAACATTAGATAAGATCTATGTGAGATAAGATTCAAGAGGTACCACGGAGGGCTCTAGTATTCACTCTCCACCAGCTACTCTTTCTGTCCCATTTTTTCCCTTTAATATTTTGAAATTCCATCATTTTAAATGCATGACTTTGAAGTATCACATTGTACACATTAAAATTTCCCTGAGTTCAGAGCTCAGTAAATTATGGTGACATAGAGGCTATTTCATATTATGACTTGGATGGATTGATAACTGTCTGCTTGGAGCTTCCAGATGAGTAGAATTCTGAACTCAAGTCCAGATTCATTAGGCTCAATTATCAGCATCAATTAGGGGAGGGGATGATAGAACTAGTTCAGCGGTAGTAGTAGTTAAGTTACAATAATATTAACGTACACAATCACTAATACCTCAGTGAGAATTTATCTAATAACTTTCCTAGCATTTAGAAGAAGGGGATAAGGAAAGATAAAGGATCATTCTGAAGCTTGAGCTGGTTCTACAATCATATAAATTACTGTGCATACTGGGATATGTTTGAGAGCAAAAGGAGGTCTATTAACAAAATGAGAAGATAATATATGTAAACCACGACTGAGTGGTATGGCCATCTTAGCTCTGGGGAAAGGCAGTTCCTTAAGGAGTTCCTCCTTCAAATTTAGTCCACTCAAATCTTTTTTCCTGATGCTATGGATTTTTCACAGCTGAGGCTCCTAGAGACTATATTTCCCCAACAGCAAAGAGGAACTGAAGCAATTGCATGTAGATAGGATTTCTGAAACCCTTAGAGATTCGATGTGACACACATGAGAGAAATTCAGTCAATCTACAATTTTTCAGAGGCTGATTATCCAACTAATGCATTATCTTCTAGACCCTTGTTTTATTTCTTCCACCAGTTAATTTAACAATATGTCAGTTCTGATAAGAAGCTTTGATGGGGAAGAAGATGAGACTATTACATAAAATCAGTTTGGGGAATTACCAACAGATTTCAATTATCCATGGTACTCTCACTGAAGTTTGATTGACTGTGAGCCATAGTGATTCAGCTGGACAGCCTTGATGTTTCTAAGGTAGAGTTGTCCTTGTTTTTTTTTGTCTCTTTGAATACACATTATATGTGCATTTATAGATTCTCACTTGCCCAGGTCCATTATCTGTGATTAACAAGATTTTGTTTTCAAATTGATCAATAATCACTTAAGTCAGTTTGCAATAATATATAATGATAAAATGAAGGCATGAAATCATTCAGTATTAAGTGTCTTTTTAATGAGGGTCCATGTTCTAAGTATAAAAAAGAAAACAATAGTGAGGTACTCTTGAAGAAAAGGAAAACAATTAGAGCTCACTTGGAATATAACTTCTGGCATATATGGCTACTAAACTGTCTCTAAATGCAATTATTATGTAAGTTTAAGAGAATATTTAAAAGGAAAAGAATGGGGCAGCCCAGGTGGCTCAGCAGTTTAGCGCCGCCTTCAGCCCAGGGCGTGATCCTGGAGACCCGGTATCGAGTCCTACGTCGGGCTCCCTGCATCGAGCCTGCTTCTCCCTCTGCCTGTGTCTCTGACCACCACCCCCTTCTGTGTCTCTCATGAATAAATAAATAAAATCTTAAAAAAAAAAAAGGAAAAGAATGCATTCTGAAAATTAGAAAAATACTCCAGGACACAAAGGTGTTAAATTCTCCTGTGTTAATTTGTAGCAGACCTTCCTAAATTTGGCTGGATAATCTCTTAACTCATTCAAATCTTTTTTTTTTTTAAGATTTTATTTATTTATTCATGAGAGACAGAGAGAGAGAGAGGCAGAGACACAAGCAGGAGAAGCAGGCTCCATCCAGGGAGCCCGACATGGGACTTGATCCCAGATCTCCAGGATCATGCCCTGGGCCAAAGGCAGCGCTAAACCACAGAGCCACCCGGGCTGCCCCTCGAATTCTCTTTCTGAAGATTGTGGTCTATTACAGGGCCAGAGTCTCTCTCTGTTCTTATCTAATAATGCTCATAATACTCATTTTTGCCATAACTGATACTATCTTCAGATATTACTTTATAGTTATTTTACATATTTAACTTCTGAACTGTTTGATTTTTCATATGAGAAACCATATTACCTCCCAAACTAGACCATATATATATATATATGGTCTAGTTTGGGATATATATATATATATATATATATCTTCTTGTGTCTCTCCCCAAGATCTAACAGAACTTTGAATGTATTTACACAGTACCATATGAAATTGCCTATAATTAATAATTTTTAATCTGTAGAAAAGGACATTATATATGGTTCAACCTACTAATAGCTTTAGAAATGGTTGGAGTATGAGTACGATTATGTTTAAAATTTTAAATTAATATATATACACACAGATATAATATATTTATACATATAATAAATGATTGAGTTTGAGTCTTAATTTTTTGAGTAGACATGAGCACCAAAGACTCTAGTCAGTAACTTTCAGACACAATTTTTAAGAAATGAAAATGATGACTCCTTTTCCCACAAAAAAAAAAAATGTAGCTGGGATAAGAGATGATAAAGTACTAACTCTCTCAGCATGGCAATGCATATATTGAATTATTTTTTGGCACCATGTACTTATTGAAAGATTATTCTGTAGAATAATGTTGCTCGTAGATAATCTTTATTTCAAGTGCTTATGGTATGCCAGGCACCTTTTTAAATATTTCATGTCTATTAACTCACTGATCCTCACCTGTCACCTTTTTTCAGAAGAGCAAATTGAGGCATGAAGAGGTAAGATAATTTGCTGGAGATAACACAACTAGTAATGATTGAACTGGATGTCAAATTCAGGCAGTCTGGTTTCAATCCTTAACTTAAGTACCATGTGGACTCTAATCAATATAAATAGAGTTATTTAAAAATTAGAATAAATGAAAAATCATTTAGCTTTGTGAAATGTGTAGCATCTAGTAGTAGAAGGCTATAATAGATAGTGAAGATTTCAGCAGAGTTAATGAGTGAGGTAGCCGAGCACTCTAGGTAGCCTTGATACAGTCATCGGACTAGTGATCGTGATTGCAAGACCTGAAGATCTGCAGCTTTACCTCTCTTATACGTAACTCAAAATTATTTTGAATTATAGAACCTCAGTTTTCTGCATTAAAAACAGACCTTCATATCACTAACTCTTCTATAAGAATTGTAGAGGAGTAGAAAGAATAATAGATCATATAACACATGATAATTAGAGACTTTAACTGATTAGACCGGTTTATTTATTTATTTATTTATTTATTTATGATTTTATTTGTTTATTCATGAGACACACACAGGGGGAGAGAGAGAGAGAGAGAGAGAGAGAGAGAGAGAGAAAGCAGAGACACAGGCAGAAGGAGAAGCAGGCTCCATGCAGGGAGCCTGACATGGGACTCGATCCCGGATCTCCAGGATCAGGCCCTGGGCTGAAGGCAGTGCTAAACCGCTGAGCCACCCGGGCTGCCCCAACTGGTTTATTTTTATGTTTGATTTTGAATGTATGAATGCAAATACTCTTGTAAAATTATGCCTTTTTTTAAAGATTTTATTTCTTTATTTGAGAGAATGCATGAACAGGGGGAGAGGCAGAGGGAGAGGGAGAAGCAGGCTCTCCATTGAGCAGGGATCCCAACTCAGGGCTTGACCCTGGGACTCCAGGATCATGACCTGAGCCAAAAGCAGACACTCAACCAACTGAGCCACCCAGGCACCCTATAAAATTATGTTTAATGCTACTTTTCTATAATCAATATATGTTCTCTAATACAGGTATGTGTCATTTTCATTAGTACTTGAAAATGATATAAATATCACACAAGCAGAAAATAAATAAGGCTGCTTAATTGGGTGTAGTAATTACTACTGGGTGTAGTAATCAATCAATAAATACATATAGGCGTACATAAAAACACTATGTATACATAAATTATATATACACATACTAAAAATATATTTAGTAATAGAATTTATCTTGATTTACACCTGTAAGTAATTTTTATAATTTAACTTTTTTTCAAACAATTAATGAAATAATCCAGTGTGATATTTTCTAAGATTGGATGAGAGAAAACACATTCTCCTCTGGAATTCTGCAGCAAATAGTGACAAAAGCTTTAGGTGGGAAATCAGACATTTTGTTTTAAGTTTCTGGGCCTTAAGTTGGATGGGCTTGAAAAATGAAGTAGATGAATTTATGCTGTTCAAATGACACCTTTCAGCAAGTGTGTTAAAGCAAAATTTGTTTATTAGCTCTAATGTCTACATTCCAGGAAATGCCGTTCTGCTTCTCATAATAAAATAACCCAAGCACACCTTCCTCTTTAAGAAAATATCAGAAGGAGAACAGCCATGAATGTTTCTTAAATACAGAAGAAAGGAGATCCGAGAAGCTATTACCCACGGCCAAGTTTGCAAAGAGGGAGTGGAAGAAGTGGAAACGCTGATGGAAAAGCACTTCAGGCTTATCATTTTCAAGTCATACTGATCTGAACTGCTTGAGTTTTCTGATCATTTTCATGAATTACATTTTTAGTGGCATCAGAGGTTAACCAGGCAAGCAAACTGTGGGCCATTCCATTGTTCGTTTTTGCTGTTTTGTTTTTTCTGCTTTAGAACAGGTACTTAGAAACTCAAATGACACTAGTGTTCAAGTTCAATCAGGGAAAAGAGAGTAGTGGTAGGCAAGGTTACCTTCTTACACGCTGTGATGGAGCTACCCAGGCTGCCTCTCAAGCTGCCGCTGGCGCTGCCCTGCTGTGGCGCTGAAACCTCGTACATCAGTGGTGACTCCAAATTGCTGCTTGCCCCCAAAATACAAAAGAAAACACATTCCAGTGAGTCATCTCCATAGAACAGAAGTAACATGATGTGGCTTCAAAACCCTCTTTTCAGATGGTACGGAACTCTGAAAATCCTGATGACATGTCTTTGTTGGCTTCACTCATGCAATTGGTGAAGTCATTATGCACTATTCTCTTGGGAACAGGAAACTGAAAGCCAGTGACTTCTCACGGTGCTTACATGGACACGGTGCATCTGCCTGACTTCCAGCTCTGCCAGTTTTTCTTAAGCAAGCAGTTTTAAAACCCAAATAACGCTTTACCCAAATAATGCTTTTAGAATGCCACATTAATTCGGCTCAGAATTAAAAATGTAAAATATTCATCTTATTTCTTAAAACAAGTGACAAAACATACTTTTAATCAGGAGGAAGGACAGTGTCATGAACAGAATGTAGACTTCAGAAAAGGCATGTCATCTCTTTCTATCTCTGTACCTGGTGGCATTACCTTAACTTCTCTGTCTCCAAAATTCTAGACTTAACTCCCTTCCAAGTCTTGCGTCTAATTGAAATCATTATCACTCTTGCCTTTCATGATATAACTGGGAGATTTTGAATTCAAACTAATTGAAATATAAAAAGCCCTCTGGATCTTATGGATTCCTAAATATTTCTCTTCTGAAAACAAGAAAAATTCAGAATTTAAAAAAAAAATGTATGGGGGCAGCCTGGGTGGCTCAGTGGTTTAGCACCACCTTAAGCCCATGGTGTGATCCTGGAGACCCAGGATTGAGTCCCATGTCAGGCTCCCTGCATGGAGCCTGCTTCTCCCTCTGCCTGTGTCTCTGCCTCTCTCTGTCTCTCTCCGTGTCTCTCACGAATAAATAAAATCTTTTAAAAAAATGTATGGGTATCTGAAGTCTATGTATTTTATTTTTGTTGTTCTTGATCACATAGAATATGTACAATTCCTCAAAATACATTTTTTGGAATGTGATCTCATAATTCTTTATGTAATTATCAAGCCAACACTTAAACAAAATCTCTTCAAAGAAACAGCAAATAGAAGGTCAGTTAATGCTTTTTTAACTAATATATAACTCTTTGTTTTAAGTTCTAAATTAGTCAACTTCCATTATATTGCAATTAAATGGAAATACATAAATGTAGTCTGTTAACATTTCCATTATTAATCACTATGAATGGCTTTTTTTTTTAATGACGGCTAATGGTGTATGTAACAGATCACAGATTCAGGTAAAAATTACACAGAATAATTCAAGTAAAATCTGTTTTGTTTTAAATATTCATGTATTATTTCCTGAGTAATTGACACATTGAGGACTAGAATGAGCTTAATTGAAATGAAAGGAGAACAGTCATGTTATCTTTGTTTAACTGGGAAAAGATAGAGGAATGAAGAAGGAAAGGAGGTTTGGCTCCAGATCCCTAACTATTCTGCTGCCTAGTTAATTTATAAATTAATGTTGGCAGTAAAGTCTGTGGTCCTTTCTGAATCTAGAAATACTCATATAGTATCATGGAAAGCATAAAGTTTCAGCCCTATTTTTATAGGTATCTCACAACGTGGGGCCTGCAACTTTTTAGCTACCACTTAAATGTAACTGTACCTTACACTCAATTGCAGATGCTCCTCTGAATGCTTTCCTGGCCATAGGAAAATTGGGTTTTTACCCAAATGTCAAATATTTATCGTTGTTAGGTTCCAAACCGTAAACCAAGCTAACTTGGATCTGCAATAACTTGGCTCATGAGTCAAGGAAATTGTATTTTCCAGGGTTCGGGCCACTCCCATTTCTCTTTACAGGATTAGCAACCTTAGGAGTGAGAAGGAAGTAGGTTGAGAAGTAAGATTGAGACATAGCTGATATAAAACAGTGTAGAAAAGGGGCTTCGATAATCTCTGATTGCTCTAGAGGGGAATTACATCTGTTTGGGGAGAGTTAGTTAGGTACAAAGTAAGAGTTAATAGGAACACAGAAAAAAGTAAAAGAACACCTATGGAAATTCCTCATTTCCCCATAAAGCACACTGTATATGACTGCAAATAGACAAGGTGCTACAGTAATTTTTAATGCATAAAAAAAGTTTAAGAACTGCTAAGTTGGTTTAGTGGAAGGAAGAAATGACAAGTCGACCCACATATACTTTGGTATGAAAGCCAATCGGCCTTTAAGATGATTTTGAGATCCCAGTTGGAGATAAAGGTGAAGAAGGATTTTTTTTATTTATTTTATATTGGTGTTCAATTTGCCAACATATAGAATAACACCCAATGCTCATCCCGTCAAGTGCCCACCTCAGTGCCCATCACCCGGTCACCCCCATCCCCCGCCCACCTCCCCTTCCACCACCCCTAGTTCATTTCCCAGAATTAGGAGTCTTTCATGTTCTGTCTCCCTTTCTGATATTTCCCACTCATTTTTTCTCCTTTCCCCTTTATTCCCTTTCACTATTATTTATATTCCCCAAATGAATGAGACCATACACTGTCCTTCTCCGATTGACTTATTTCACTCAACATAATATCCTCCAGTTCCATCCACGTCGAAGCAAATGGTGGGTATCTGTCATTTCTAATGGCTGAGGAATATTCCATTGTATACATAGACCACATCTTCTTTATCCATTCATCTTTCTATGGACACTGAAGCTCCTTCCACAGTTTGGCTATTGTGGACATTGCTGCTAGAAGCATCGGGGTGCAGGTGTCCAACGTTTCACTGCATCTGTATCTTTGGGGTAAATCCCCAGAAGTGCAATTGCTGGGTCATAGGGCAGATCTATTTTTAACTCTTTGAGGAACCTCCACACAGTTTTCCAGAGTGGCTGCACCAGTTCACATTCCCACCAACAGTGCAGGAGGGTTCCCCTTTCTCCACATCCTCTCCAACATTTGTGGTTTCCTGCCTTGTTAATTTTCCCCATTCTCACTGGTGTGAGGTGGTATCTCATTGTGGTTTTGATGGTGAAGAAGGATTTTGAAATGGACTACTACTCAGCCATCAAAAGAATAAAATCTTGCCATTTGCAGCAATGTGAATAGAGCTGGAATGTATTATGCTAAGCAAAATAAGTCAGCCAGAGAAAGACAAATGATTTCACTCATATGTGGAATTTCAGAAACAAAACAGATGAACATGTGGGAAGGAGGAAAACAAAAAGAGAGAGGGAAGCAAACCATAAAAGACTCTTAAAAATAGAGAATAAATTGAGGGTTGATGGAGGGGAGGTAGTCAGGGGAGGGGCTACATGGGTGATGGGAATTAAGGAGGGCACTTGTTAGGTCGGGCACTGGGTGTTATATGTAAGTGATGAATCACTAAATTCTACTCCTGAAACCAGTATTAAACTGTATATTAACTAACTAGAATTTAAATAAAAATTTGAAAGAAAAATTTGAAAAAAAAAAAAAGTGTTGCTTACCTGTAAGGTTCACTCCATTTGTCCTAATGCTAAGTCTATATAGCACTAATACAGAAATTGATCTTAAATATATATGTGAATATATATGTGTGTATGTATATATGTATTTACTTATTTTTTTAATTTTTTTTATTTTATTTATTTATGGTAGTCACAGAGAGAGAGAGAGAAAGAGGCAGAGACATAGGCAGAGGGAGAGGGAAAAGCAGGCTCCATGCACCGGGAGCCCGATGTGGGATTCGATCCCGGGTCTCCAGGATCGCGCCCTGGGCCAAAGGCAGGCGCCAAACCGCTGCGCCACCCAGGGATCCCTGTATTTACTTATTATTATGAGGATTAAACAGTATATTAGACTCACATTACTAGGAGTAAAATCAGTGCATTAAAATCAGTGCATTACCTGACAAGGGAGATGCAGTTCTAGTGCACCAATATTCAAAGCAAAAGCCACTTCTAGTCCCCAGAAACACATTATAAATCAATTTGATGGTGCTTAATGTACAAAACTATATGTAGAGAGGCTTCTCTTTTAAAACATGTGACCTGGGTGTGAATTCCCTGTAAGTGACTTGAACCTAGCCCAATCTGTTCCCATGCCTTTGGGATGGAGATGGAATTTTTAGAGTATCTGCAAAGATGCTGTCCTTGGTCTCTGGAGAAGCATAACATTGGCTCTTACAGGATGAGGCAGAGACAGTAACATGAGACTCATGCGTTTATTAAAATGAGTTCAAATTGACATTAAAAGAACTGCTGTCAAGATACAGTACAGCCTTTAAGTTGTTCCTAATGGGGAAGGCTGTAAGTTCTTCCCTGGGACGTTTTCTTTGATTTTGACAAATGTTGACAATATTTCTTAAGCACATCCTTTCAGGCTGGTTTCATGCTGAAACTGCTAAATGTGTTTCAATGAGGAGGTAGATCAAGAGATCAAGAGAAACGAACAGAAGGAAAAGAGGGTACAAAAGCAGAATTTGAAGTAGTGACTTTAAAAATATTATGGGAAGAGAAGTAGGCTCCCTTGCAGAAAATGTAATATGTGAATGACGTGCTGAGTTGCCACCACAGTGCCATCATTAAGGATTCACACAGTGTGAATAAGTAGGTCACCATCAGTAGTGACAATGGCTTCGGGAATATTCAGTGACTTCTCTGGAGAGAGAGGTGTCCAGTTACTGGAAGTCAAGTTGTCTGTATGTTGCTACTCAAAGTTTGGTCTGTGAACCAGCAGCATTGATATTGCTTAGGTGCAAGAATTAGATGCCCAAAAATTCAAGTCTCTCCCTAGAGCTACTGAATCAGAATCTGCATTTCAACATCCAACTTGAGGGATTCACATGCCCATTAAAATTTGAGAAGCATTTCTCTGACATGTTAAATTAAGTACTTATTCCCATTTACCCTTGAATCCTTGCACATGGTGTTTCTTCTTTTAAGAAAACTCATTCCAGTCCCCTTTCTTCCTTCTGAATAATATCTACTCTACCTCTTGGGTCTCCATTTATAAATCACTTCTTGCACCTTCCTTCCCCCCAAGGAGGTCACGTCTCATCTCCCATGTATTTCCAATG